TGACAGAAAACTCGGGTACCCAACACAGACCGTGACAGAGAAACCTGGGTACCAATCAGAGACCGTGACAGAGAATCGGGGTACCCATCACAGACCGTGACAGAGAATCCGGGTACCCATCACAGATCGTGACAGAGAATCCGGGGTACCCATCACAGACCGTGACAGAGAATTCGGGTACCCATCACAGACCGTGACAGAGAATCCTGGGTACCAATCAGAGACCGTGACAGGGAATCCGGGTACCCATCACAGACCGTGACAGAGAACCCGGGTACCCATCACAGACCGTGACAGAGAGACTGTAGTTGTAAAGCATCAGATATACGGTTAGCTACAAATGTGTCGTAAGGAAATGGAGCAAAAGGATTTCCATTTAATTAGTAACAATAGGTTCATCGTGCTTCACATTTTTAATCCCGCAAGGGATTGCGCCAACAGCTTTTTTGTCATGTAATCATTGTGGTGTTCGTTTTTCTACTGAATTAACATTGTATGATCATTTGTGTCATTGTTGTCATAAAGATTTAACATGTACAACAAAAATTATTACCCCCTTAGTTGAACACATTGATGATCCTGTTAAGAAAATAAAAGTTTATCTCATGTTACATCATTATCTGCAACTTTTTGATGATTCAGGTTTACAAGGTATACCTGTCCACCACAATCTGCTGTCAACACCGATTCTCATTCTCCTTTAGCTGAACATCCACGCCGAGTTTCACACCTTAATCGACAAATTATTAATAATGAAGTTAAGAAAATGTTAGAGAGTGGAATTATCGAACCCTCGAATTCATCTTGGACTTCTCCTGTTGTTATAGTTAAGAAACTTGATGGATCCCCTAGGTTTTGCGTAGACTATCGGCGCTTAAATTCCATTACTCAAAAAGATGTTTATCCATTACCTCGTATCGATGACGTTATTGAACGTTTAAATGGATCTCACGTATTTTCTAAACTTGATTTATGTAGTGGGTACTTTCAAGTACTTCTAGCACCTGAAGAGCATGCTAAAACTGCATTCACAACTCCTGATGGACTTTGGCAATTTACTAGGTTACCTCAAGGTTTAAAGAATTCACCATCAGTTTTCCAACGATTGATGAATCAAACTCTGAGATCATTACGCTGGGATATATGTCTTGCTTATTTGAACGATATTATCGTCTATTCCCCTTCGTTTGATCAACATCTTTTAGACGTTAATCAAGTATATAAAGTATTACATGCATCAAATTTTAAATTGAATTATAATAAATGTGCATTTTTTCAACATGAAATTTCATTTCTTGGCCATAAAATTAATGCTGATGGTTGTTCACCTAATGATGATAACATTCGTTCTATTATTCAATTTCCTTTGCCTCAATCGAGTAAAGCTGCTCATTCTTTTTTACAAATGATCGGTTTTTACCGACAATTTATTCCTCGCTTCGCTCACATATCAGCACCACTTAATAAATTTACTCGCAAAGGTTTTCCATTTATATGGACTGAAGCAGAACAATTAGCCTTTGATCAATTAAAGGAGGCTATCACATCTCCTGCGATTCTCATTCTACCTGATCCTTCACAACCATACATTATCCGTACAGATGCTTCACGTGTCGGTATAGGTGCTGTACTATTACAAAAGCAACCTCCTGATGATAATGATAAATCAACTATATCAATATATAAACCAGTTGCTTTTGCATCCCGAGGTTTAAAACCAGCTGAAAAGAAATATTCTGCTATTGAACTTGAAGCATTAGCTATTTGGTGGAGCGTTACTCAAAAATTTCGATCGTATATTGAAGGACAACAATTTTTTCTTGAAACTGATCATAAACCATTACTATCATTGATGAAAAAACCTTATCATAACGCTCGTATTGCACGATGGATGACAACATTACAACAATACGATATGATTATTCAATATATACCCGGAAAAGAAAATACAACCGCTGATGCTCTTTCTCGTTATCCAGTTGATAAACCTGATGTTAATGATGAAGATTCACCTCGTCTTATTACTTCTTCAACTCAAACTGATAATATTTTCGTCAATGTTGTTACAACCCGTTCAATGACACGACAACATTCATCACCTGTTCCTTCAACAACAACTTCATCATCAGCTCCTTCTTCTAGAACAACAATAACACCACCTGAGACACCTCGATCTACTCTGCCTGTCCCATCTTCTTCTTCTTCTTCATCCTATAATGACATTAACATTTCATTCGATCATGATATATTAACCTTACATCAGGATCAAGATCTTGGTATTCAGAAAATAAAAAAAGTTTCACCACTAACCTCTAAATATACACTGGATGATCATAATATCCATTATAAAATGATTACTCGAAAGAATGGTCATGTTCTTCAATTACCTTATGTTCCTGCTTCTTTAATTCCTCAAGTATTATTAATGTATCATAATTCGACATTCAATGGTGGCCACTTCGGTATTAAACGCACTTTTTACAAGATACGCGACCGTTTCTTCTAGCCGAATATGTACCAAGATATCGAACGACATATTTTATCATGCATTAATTGCCGAAAGCATAAACCTTCTCGCCGAAAAACTGATGGTTATCTACATTCAATAGAACCACCTCGCGGTGTTTGGGAACGTCTTGCTATGGATTATGTTGGTCCTGTACCTCAATCCAAATCGGGTAATAAATATTTTCTTGTACTAACTGATTTATTTTCCAAGTTCGTCATCACCAAAGCCGTCCCCAATAATACATCAACAACAGCTGCTAAATTTTTATTATTTGATGTCTTTATGATCTATGGTGTTCCAGTTGAAATTATTACTGATAATGGCCAACATTTTTCTTCTTCTTTATATGAATCCTTGCTGACGTTAACTCAATGTTGTCATGTTAAAACTACACCTTATAATCCCAAAGCCAACGGTCAATGTGAAAGACATAATGCCACTCTAGTACCCAATTTACTTGCACTTTCTAATCGATCTCGATCTGACTGGGAAGATAAATTGGTAGCTACAATTTTCAATTATAATGCTACTCGACATGATTCTACTGGTTACACTCCATTCGAATTAATGTTTGCACGTCAACCTCGTTTTATAGCTGATTTCACCTCATCATACTATGCAACAATTTATTGAACATGCAAAAATGGCTACTCGACAAAATACTCTTCGACACCAACAATCTTCTAAACAACGTTATGATTGCAACCGCTCAAATCCTCAATATTTTGTTGGTCGACTGGTGTTAATTCGTAATCGAAATCCACATATCAACAAGTTCTTCTCAAGATTCGTTGGACCGTACACCATTATCGCTCAATTACATAATAAAACGTATATTGTTAAAAATCATAATACAGATCATCAAGCACAAGTACCTATACATGGTATACGAGCTATCAATTAACATATTATAATCTGTTGAACTTATACTTTCCTATCATTCAAACCATACCTCATGCTATATATATAGACATATAAAGAACAACAACAGATTTACTGTTGTTCATCCTGATTTATTTTCTTTCACATTTGCTGTATTCGTTTTTCTGTTCTTAGTTTTGCTGTTATTACACCTCGTGCTTCCTTTAATTTGATTTATTTTCTGTTTTTGTTTGATATCTATTTTCGTGAACAGATAACACCGTTCACTAGCAAAGGGTGGAGGTGTTAGGTAGTGACGCTATCTGACACCACTACCTCTCTTCTTCTTTTCTCTATCTATCCATTGGTCACTAGACTCACCTATGTTTTGTTCGAATGTATGGAAAAAGGCAGAAAGGAAAAATGTCGAAAGGGAAAAATATCGAAAATAAAAATGTCGAAAACAAGAATATGAAATGAAAATGAGCATGAAACATTGAATTGAGGTTGAGGGAGACTTGTACTTCAATATACTATCGTTTTCAGCATTTCTATCCATCTACATTTGTATTATTTTTGTTTTCGATATTTTTATTTTCGACATTTTTCCCTTTCGATATTTTTCCTTNATGAGGCCATTCGCTCGAGTTATAGAGAGTCTAGAGGCTTGACAAGAACTCAACAACCATTCACATACTATTTTTCATTAGTAAGAGATTTGCTTCTGAAACTTTCAGGACACAATACCCAATGATGGGGGAATATCTCCTGAAAATTTCAGATGCATTTATTGAACTATCACTAAGTTATTAACCTCTCAATGTTATGATATAGTTTTTCGGTATATCAATATTTACACTAAAATGATCATAGTTCATCAATGGATAGATGAACTTTAATGAAATTTTTAGTACAAATAGCTATTAGATAGGGCTACAAAATGAGAGGTTGGCCAACTCAAAATATCTTACCTTTCTCGAGTTAGCAAGTTCACAATGGATACCAATGGCATCCATTAGAACTCCATTCTTACTCGAGTCACTGTGGTGTAGATGGTGCCGCTGACCTACATTCTTTATGGGCTACCTGCACACCTATTTTCACTCGTTCAGTTCTTGTATGGACTGAGATCCGGGGGGGGGGGAAATACTTTTGTCAAGTGGTGTATATAATGCCTCAGTTTTCAAATGTTCAGAATACTTTGTTAGAGATCGATTTGTGTGGAGCATCCAGTGAGATATTGTAGCATTTAAAGAGAAACAAAAATTCATTGTATCTAGAAAAACAAATATCTTTCGGATGAAGTGAAAAGTAAAATTTTATATGAAATAAAACGAAGATTTTCACGAATAAAAACATGTCACTGAGAAACTTACATGAAGGAGAAATATTTCATAATGGATCACCTCTTATTATGGCAAAAATTATGTTGCTGATGTATTTTGGAGTCAATTAAGAAAATAGAAAACAAACAACAAAAAAATTAAGTTAGGAAAAACGTATTGCGATATTAATAGAAATGAGGCTCTAGAAGATTGTTGAATTAATGTTTCTATAGTACCTAAGATCATACTACCACCATTGTGACTGATAAATTTTAAACCACTAACGTAAAAATGATCGACAACTGATATTGTGACAGTTTCAAACATCACAGGTAAAAAGCCAATTTTTTCTGGTGGAAGCTTCATAGCATTGCATCGAGCAAATTGTAAATTGTACCGACTCTTCAAGGATACGGTTGTACTATAAACAAACCCTGCCTGAGTTTGTAGTTGAATGTCAATGTTCATTAATCTAGGTTCCGCACATGTCGATGGGTGAGTTGACGTAAACCAGCAAGAACTTCTTCTCGCCAATTGAATATCAATTGTTGTGCTTTTTCCTACTTCTACTTTGTTGAATAGAACAATTACTTCCGATTCAGAATTATTTCCAAAGTCGATATGAACTGCGTTTTCAATTAGTTCCAAACAATCCAAAGATAAATTACCCTTCTGTGGTGGATTAAGAGCAAAATGTGGAGGTGGAACTTGAGAATTATTGTAAGCAGTAACAAAAGAAGCAAATATGGATTGAGCATACTGTTTTAATGGCATAATTTGTGCACCAGTAGTACTAATAATATTTCCAGTTCCATTGAAAAGCCGAATAGATTGAGTATTGTCGAAAAATTGACGACCAATTTCAGTAAGATTAGCAGGAAGCCTATATTGAATACTTTCTGTCAACGAAAACTATTTTTCAAAAACTATTTAGAGAGATTTCATTGGTTTAATAGGCAAAGCCCCAATACACAATTTGGTTGTTTTGGGATCTATAATGCTCGAGATGCAAAAGTTCTCGCAAAAAGTTTCTAAATTTCAACGTTCATTGCCATGCAAAAATGTAAGATTGAGTGCCTTTCTCTTTCAAATACTACAATGCAATAAGAGATATTCTTCATAGACGTGGAGGCATGCCATGTGTCAGATTTATGAAGAAGGCAAAAACAATTTGGTCCAGCAATATATAGCTCTAATTCTTGAGACTATCTGTATGTTAATATAATTGAAAGAAATGTAACTCACGGAGTTGAAGACTGGAGATATTTTGCAAGAGCTGGATCAGCATTGACACCAACATAGGCACGAAAAAATGCCGATAATGAATAGATAGCTGTTCTACGTTGTGATTCTGATTCATTGATTTTTAACAAAGTAAGATCAAGAGATGTGTTCGCAACTGGTGGATATAGATCTCTAATTTTGAACGTTGTTGCATTCACATCCCATAATGGATCCTGATCGCCTAGACACATCGGTAATCCGACTTGCCATTCAGTATTAAAATATTCATGATTAGCACCTATCATAACCTTAGTAAGAATTATTTCTTTTCAAGTGTAGAGTCACGTTTATACTAACCGTAAATATGTAAAACATGATTGGGACGTTTCGCAGTGTACAATTGATGATAGGCCAAATAAACATGAACTATATAGAACATACAAGATTTATGAGTGCATATCAGTTATTTTGATAGTACCTTGTACGAGGCCGTGAAATGAGTCCTAGAGTCTCTTCATAAAAATGATACAGTAAGTTGTTTTGCAACGTCTACTCTTTTTCGCTTTTGAAAATACACATTTTCATAGCCTATGCCTAATTTACTGTAGCATCTTTTATCTCGAGTATTCATTTATCATTCCAAGTATGAAATGATTTACTTGTAATTAGTTAACGATGGTGACAGACGGAAAACAGGAAATTCTCATTGAAATAGGCATGCTAATTTTTTAGAAGTTCTGCCAAGATTTTTGTATGCAATGAATTATATTTTATTCAAATGTTTTTTTTTTGCTGATAATCAATCATTTTTGATGTACTAAAATATTACATTGAGAAGTGGGCGGATGAGTGTGAATATATGTAAAGAGAAGACACATATCCATACTCACACCCACAACTACAGATTAACTTACCGTAATCAATTTCATCATCTTCACATCCTGATACAAGCATTCCCCATGGAATATTTTCCACACCAAGTGTGGTTCCATTCTGGCCATAATACATGGGCGCGATCTCCATAATTGCTCTAATCATCACATCCGGTAGTCGTTCACGCCATTTTGGAGCATCGCTGGGTCCTTTATTTTCCATCAACATATTATAAGCATTGCGAACTCCTTCGCCACCACGTGAATGTCCCATCATACCAACTTGAGAAAAATCAAACTTGTCCGATAGATCGATGCCGCCCAATACTTGTTTCGAAGTTTTAGCATTTGCATTGAGTTCCATCATTTTTTGCAGGGTTCGAAGAACAATGCGTGCTCGAACGAAATTTAGTGTGTCATCACCGGGAATACCCCATTTATTGTTTATCAAAATGATATCAATCGAAATAACAATATAACCATACGACGCAAAATATTTGCCAAGATAGGCAAAACCAAGATGGCTAGGAACTGTAGACAAATTATTTGGGCAATGACCCCAACTATCAGTTGCTTCTAGATCAAGAGCAGGATAGCCGGGTGGCACAGGTAAACGACAATCTGCGTGTTTTCCCGGAAGAAAAACTAGAATTGGAAATGAACCTTGTGTATCGTTTGTTGTTGTATTCGGAAAATATATTTGTCCTCTAATTTGTGTCGTCAAATTGTTTGAAGATGGTGTGAGCTCTGTATCGTTGACAATCGGATATTCATAGGAAACTTCAGCGATAGGAAAAGGACCATTTTCAAAAATTTTATCGATATCTATGCCTGTTTGTTGTTGCTTCTATATTTACAATCAGTACGGCATGTTTCTGATTATATCGAGATCTTACCTTAATATGAAATCCTAATGAGCTGCTAAACAGTATTATTGAGAATACAACAAGACAACGAAAATGCATTGCAATTACTGTAATCTAGAATTAATCAAAAGGAAAAATTCCTACTCGTACTTGAGGAGTAGAAACGAAGTCAATTATAGCAATAGTTATTCAAAAAAGGATATACATGAATCTGTTTTCTATTATCCTATCAGCTTAGTTTAATCTAATTTGCATTTCAATTTAAAAATGATTTGTAACATGTATGCGAAGTGTCAAGAAGAAGTTCATGTATAATATAAAAATATGAAATTGATAAAGAAAAGCTACCTTGTATGTTGAAAATGCTTCAATATCAAAATTACATATGATTCATTATATTTTTGCTTGTGACTGAATACAGCCAGATTTCAATTTTTTTAGTCGCATAAGTAAGATATGCTTATCATGACTTTATTCTTTGCAATAACGAAAGTAGAACATTAAAAAACAAGCATGAATTATATCAGATTACATTACTTGTGCAGAGTGCATGATAACACAAGGCATAAACTTGATAAAAATACTGGTATAACAACCTTGAATAATGATGGATATCAGAAAAAAAAACAGTCATAAGGTTACTCATAGAACGTCACTTTTATCTTTTTGTTGTCTTTATGGATATCATACAATCAAAGGAGATGACAGAATGACAGAAGCCACAGAATAATAGAACAGAAACATCGTCTGGGAACTCCACAGATGAATGAACAATTATTAGCTATTTGCTCTGTAGTAGTGTATCAAATATATGAAGTGATATAATAAAAATTTGAAGACAATTCTCGATCATTTTTCTGTACGTATCTGGTAATGGCCGAAAACGAACATCACAAGCTTTTCCCCCATTCTTTGATAAGAATAAAACACGTTGTTTGCACTATATGAGTCAATCACAGAAAGTAAATAATATCTAACTGCCACAAATACTTTTTCTTGGCTCTTTTTTTCATCAAATAGTCGATATGTTTGCACCTAGCAAGCGCTTAAATAACTACTTTCTTTTGCACAGAAAAGATTCAACAAGAAAATAGAGAACGATGCGCTACATTGAGCGTAGAGAATGCTTCTTCATTCTTCTCAAATAGCAGAAAGTCAATACTCAGGTGAAAGTTATTTTGAATGATCACATTTTGATAATCATACTGTGGTTCTTTGAAAAAACAATGTTTTGGCACATTGTTGTGTACGAGTAAAAAACAATACTGCAAGCATCTAGTCAAAGACGTCTTACCCATACTTTGATGATGGTGTTTTTTTTCTGACGTGTATAAGAATTTCATTCGTCTTTAGTTGTGATTATTAAACGACGAAATGAAAAGTAATGACCGATCAACGATAGATCTGCAAAGACGTAACATTAGTACATGAGCAAGGTCTTTTCTTCGATTCGTACTTGGGTATTCGACACATTCCCCATTTACGATAACAATCGACATAAAGACGTAAATCGCAACATGTGCCTTTTATTGCATAACTATACATTGTTTTGCGATTGGTTCTTTTGAATCATCTCAAGATCAAACATAACGACGGGATTAAAATTGTCTTTCTCTAAAATAACATCGAGAACTATTATCAAAAGACGATTAGCCGTCAATCATCACACGACTAATCGTCTCAATGGAATTTCATAATGATAGGAAAAAGGAATTCATAAGCACTCTTATGTTATCATAGCTTAGCGTCCCCATTTGTGATCTACATGTGACAGATCTAATAAAACATTTGCGAAGTTTTCATTCGTAATTCAGGGTCTTTAGTCAGAAAAAGTATCGATTGGAAAGCTCATTTGCGTCTATAAGTTATAAATTGTTCTTTTTCTTCGAAGATTTGAATAAAAAGGTTTTGGTATACCTTTAGAAAATTGTTAAAATTAAATTTATATATAACCAATCTTGATATCAAATTGTTGTGAATATATAAATAAAGTTTCTGTCAACAGTCAATAATTGTTTAAACAAAGTGAACAGGCATAATAGCATACGTATTTCATACATGAAGCCCAAGGAGACACGACGTACTTCAGTACTTCTAGAGTATACGAAGCACACAGAGCATCATGAAAGTACACTGTTTGTAAAATAAAATGTCAAGCGAACTTGAATTTTTTTTGAAAATATTATAAAATGACTCGAACGGATAGTAGGGGACGTCAAAAAATCTTATCCCTACTACAGTCTTGTTTCTACATAGTTTGTATTTAGTTTGTAATCTGATTCGTTTTTCAATAGATAGAGCTAAAAAATGGTCACTAAGTAGACAGAGTTTTGACATAGGAAACATTTCGCTCTAACTGTAGATGAAAAAGAATTTCACCAAATACGAAATTCATGCAGACACCAAGGATGAAATGGCGTACTCCTGACTTTACTTCGTGTACTCTTGTAGTACGGGAGTACGTCGTTTCTCCATTGAAAAATCAACGGAGTTCAATTAATTGAAACAAAAAGGGCACATCTGATAGCAGCTCTAGTTGCTGATTTATTTCGATAAAGAACGATCCAATTTCATTAGGGTCAGAAATTCAGATTTTCCTTACACATAATAATTGGTGCCTGATCAACCTTTCTCTAGTCGATGTCGGTTCTGTACATTTCTCCATCGACTACCATCTCTCATACGAGTAGCAAACAGATAGCTGTTGAAAGATATTCTTCTCTAGATAGATTGCTTTTCGAGATCTTTAAGATAAGCGATCATTTTATTCACGATTATAATTATTATTATTACGCTATTGCGACTTGCGAGACATTTATTGTCAATAGCTAAAGTTAAACAACCAGAAGAATATGTTTGAAATAATATTTTTATTGCTGTTGATAACATAGGAAATCAAATACATTTAAATGCGTAATGTTGTTTTAAGCAACGGATATGTGGAGATTCATATTGTGTCCATACAGTCCTCATCATAACACTTTTCTGACGATTGCTGTTGATGTTTCGAGACTAAGTTGAGTTTCTGCAGAGGACGAAAAACAAGCAGCGATGGAATGTTTGCCAATGCTACTGATGAACAAGGATTGAATTGAGAATGTGAGAAATTTGGCCTTTGCTGTCTCTCTTGAGATATTTCCTTTTGTCGCCAATGAATCGCACGTTTTATACAAGAGCCCTGATCATCCGAATGAGATCGTCCACAGTTGAGACATATCAACTTTGAAGATTTCGTTCGCGTTATCGCTAAGTTCGGATGTTCTTTGTGTATTTCTGCCAATGGGTAATCGAAATCAGTAGGAGTCAGCACACAACCATCCTAAAAGAAAAAAGACGGCAACAAAAACACTCATCTACATGGTCGGTAATCGCGTATTGTTATTACAGCCGCGGTGACATTCATTCATAGTTTGTTTTTCAACACAAAAATGCGAATAGTTGCTGGATAATTCGAAGAAAGAATTCAGACGTCAATTTACTGAAATGCACTGTGTTGCCCTTGAATAAAGGATATTCAAGAGTATTTTCATAGGAGCCAAAAGAATATATCTAATTCTGCTTTCTTCAGAATGGAATTTTCGCTACGAATGATTTTTTCTTATTTTCTTAATCATCTACCTTTATCAATTCGATAACTATTCTTGCAATATTTTTTGCATCATCTAAGCCGCAATGTAAATGGCCAATCGCTTGAAGTCCCAAGTATTCGAGCATGTTAGCAATCCCTTCGTTTAAGAATAAAATAAAGCCCGTTAGAAAATAACAATTGTTGGAAACTTACGACCCATTTTAGTCGAATAAAAATTCGAAAATACTTTTTTAACATCAATCCATTCATATGCCCACGTAGGATAGGCAATGTGTGCGAGTTCACACTGCATACGTAAATATTTACGAAAATCTGATGAACTGTCGGTGCATAAACAATAAAGTAAAAAAGGGAATGAATATATTTTATTTACGCTCATGATCGTATAAATATATTACCCATCGGTGACAAAAATACATTTGCATTTCGAGAATGATATATAGTCTCTATTGTTCAACCATTTCTCAAGAAAGGTGAGCACATCAGCAAACAGAGGCGCGTTATTCACTTGTTCCTATTTGAAATCAAATACAAAATCATTTTATAATTTATATCCTTGGAAATACAAACTTGTGTTATACCAGTTAACTGTTTACAATAATCTGATAAAATCGGCTGTATCATTGGTCGGCAATACGACTGAAATGTGTCAACCTGGAAGAATAGATATAAGATAGGTCTGAGTCAATCAAATCACGTTCAGATTGATAAAGTCTTTTACAATTGTTCTTGTGTGAACATTGATGATAACGATGGGAAATTCAATAATTTCTTGAATATAAGCACGTGGTGGTGTCGGTGGATTTGCTACACATGTTGCTTCAAAGTCGATGACAGCAAAAAAATCGAATTTTTGCTGTATTGATTGACTGTTATTCGGCTTGCAGCTTCCTGGCAGAGGATGGATCAGCATATGCAAATTGTCTCTTGAAAACAAAAAGAGATCGTAGATTTAAATGATAGATTTCGCGCTATGCAACAAACTTTACTGATAAATTCTTTTGGATTGATTTTTATGCAAGGACATTGGATGAAAGTCAAGATATTTTTCGATCAAGTCTGCCGTTTCCTGTGTAAAATAATGAAAAGAAAAAAGATCAGATTATATAGAACGCAATCACTCATATCGTCAGTACTCTCATTGGTTAAACACGACGTCATTATGGGAAAAAACCAGTTACTCAGTCAAAGAAACGACATCAAAAAACGCATAAAAATGTTGCGAAATTTGAACGAAAAAAAATCGTACCTTTTGGATCCTGCTGTCTTCAGGATGAAGACAAGCAGAACGCAAGAATTTTTTTCGCTGTCATACCGACAAACAGCTGTGAAACGAAATGTTCATTAATGCGGCTGTATCAATCCACGTTGCATAAATGATGCAATATACATGTAAACATCCGATTCACGACGATCGAACGCAAGAGAGTGATTTTTCGATTTTTCTATAAGATCGTAGAGACTTCACGAATTGTTAGGATCCCAGAAGTTAAAGTTTACCAATGCATTTTTCTTCGTTCACAACTTTCACGCGTTATGAACATGTTAAAATGTGCGCTTTTTAGGTTTTTTTCGTTAAAGTTTTGAACGAAATAAAACGCATTAATAAACTTTACGAAAAAAGAATCCGGAAAAGGTGCTGTTTTTATGATTGTTTTCGTTCAAATTTCGCAGCATTTTTCTGTGTTTTTGTTGCTGCTTGTCTGCCTAGGAAGCTGTCAAATTTTTCACATACCTCATTTCAAGAGGTCTTGTAGTATCACGAGGTTTTGGAAAAATCAGATCTTTGAATTTTCACCTGACTCTTTTCGTGTATAGAGACCTTAATCAGACAAGCTTCCAAAAAACCCAAGAACTTTTCAAAAAAGTCTCTAGGAGATATCAAGCTGCCAAAAAAAAGGTCGTTTCTATGGATCGTGTACAGAACTTTTTCTTGGAAGCTTGATATCTCCGAGAGACTTCTTTGAAAAGTTCTTGATTTTTTTTGGAAGCTTGTCTGATTAAGGTCTCTATATACGAAAAGGGTCGGGTCAAAATTCGAACATATGATTTTTCCAAAACTTCGTGGTACTACAAGACCTCGTGAAATGGGGTATTTGAAAAATTTGACAGTTTTAGCCAAATCTAAATGGAAACTCAAATATTTGTAGAGTTTTTACTAGAGCACGATGTAGTACCTACAGACTAAAGAATCATTGCAATCGCAAGAAGTATCTGAAGTAGTTTTCGTATGAGTAAATTGGGTAGCAGAAATATGTCAAATTTTGAGACTTAGTTTGCTGAAAAAATGCATAGATGAGTATGAATTCTTAAGTATTTTAACATTGCCATAACAATCCTAAAATAACTAAGATCTCATATGAATGATTTTTTTTAGCTAGTAAGTCTGTAAATTTCAAATCTTTCCTCTAGTCCTCTGTTCAACTCAGAAATAAAGGGACCAGTAAAACAAAGTTGAATAAAAGATGAATATGAAAATTTTCATTTGTTTTTTTTTTTATCAGCTTTCAATAGTACTTGTACCATCGAGTAAGGAACAAAACGATCTTAAACCGAAGGTAGAAATTTATATATATAAGCTAATATCCGTTTCAAATTGCAAGAAAGGTAAACTATTTTTGAAATTATTTTTGATAAAAACTAGATAGACATCTGGGCATTTCACCATTTAAAACAGGAAGTGAAACTGCATCGGTTCTTGAATGACCGTCTGCTAGCTTTCTGAAACAGAAAACATTGTGTAATGTGAAAGCTTCACAATTTTAATTTTCAGTAATGGACCAGAATCGTCAACTAAAATTAAATAATCTATGTAAGTTCGATGTTACAAATGTTTAGCAATTACGAGCTATTAACATTTTACTACACCTTTTCGGCAGTTTTTTCACGGAAATTTGATTTTCTTTCTGATTTGTGTTTTGATGAAAATTCACCTTATAAACCTATTAAAAGCCTTGGTTTTTTTAAAAAACTTAGTGGAAAAATCTGTTATTCAGGATTCGATGCTGTTTCATTTCTTCTTTTAAATAGTGAGAACCGTAGATATTTATTGGTTCCTACGAAAATTTATTCAAAACGCACTTACCGTTCTTTGCATTTGAAACGGATACTACAATAGGTTCACAATACAATGCTTTATTAACCTCGTTCATTGGATTTTTCTGGATTCAGCAAATGAATTATTGAACTTTGAATCTATTCGATCTATCTATTTATGCTATATATATATATGTTCGATTACAAGATCTTTTTTTATTGTTAAACTGATGACGATAGAAGTACTATCAAAAGCTAGGAAGAAGAAAAATTTAATGCTCATCTTTGGTTTAATTTTTTTGTTTATTAAAAATTCTATATATGACTGAAGTTCATTACTAAGGTGGGGAACTTTACTAGCAAAAGTATCATAAATACTATAAGAATTTTATCTAGTAACTGAGTGCTGTCTTAAAGCAAATTATCATACATAAACATTTGATGCATTTTGGTACCATATCATAGTCAGAGAAAGTATCATAGTAACGTGTTTTAGACGTAAAAATATTCGCTTTTTACAGTAAAAAGATAATTTCGTCGTGAACAGCAAGTTTTAAAACAGGATTGGCTTCAAACTCACCATTTTTCTTGAAAACACTTTTTTGAAAACATTGAAATCTCACATTTTTTTTTGTGTTAAAACGTTTCTTTTTTTATCAATTTTATCTGACTGAAAGTTTGCCTAATTACAGTTGAACTTCACAACTGAAGTCTCTCTTGTTTCCCCCTTGAGATAGACTATACAAAAGTTTGCAATAACATAATAATTTTTATTAATGATACGTTTTGAATTCAAACAAGTCAATTTCGAACGAAAATTGCTAAGTAGAGGCATGTGCCTAACCCACTGAAAAAACCTCGTCAATTAATAATGAGAAAAAAATCATTCGACGTGAAAATGACTCGTATGCTCATCAACGCCGACTAAAGTATCTCAATTGATCGAATTCTAATTACAAAATATGGATAGATGTCGTATGTTGTTGATCAAGCCAATCATCTCTTTGATAAGCAAATTAAATCAACCATTTGAAATTCGGTTACCTTGAAATGAATGTAATTAGCAGGTTAAAAAAAGACTCTATCAATAATCGGTTGATTATCGTCATAAAAGCAATGCACAATAAAGAAGGCATCAATCAATTTTGTAGTTTGTTCAAGACCGAATATGATCGAGTAGATTTGTAGTCTCATTGACTTCTAAAATACCATGTACGACGAGACTATTAACTATTTCATTACGAATAGACAATTATGAATAATAGCAAAAACTATACACGTCATACACTAGAAATGAAATAGTCTCCTTTCTTTTTCGTGTTCGTCAATCTGATCATACACATACACATTTACTTCACTACAACAAACATGTTTTTTTGCAATCCTACTTCAATTTTTTTTATCTAATTGAATTTCACTAGGTGACGACTATACGAAGAAGCCATGCGAACGCACTGAAATCAATTTCTTTTCTTATTTCACGCTGACAGACAATTCTATAGGCATACAACGCACATCTACAGCCATTTTTACCCTTTCATTTGTGCCAGTCTTTCGTTCTTTTTGTCACTTCATCAACCAGCCATGTTGCAGCGTGGTATTACATCGATAACGTTTCATCATCGTCGAATTCCTCAAGCATCGTATCATTCGTCAACTACTATGCCGGTTCTCGTGAAACATTCACCATCATTAGGTCGTGGTTATGTGAGTCAATGATGACCAAATGCATTTTTCATATTTTATGATGAATTTCTAGTTCTATCAAAAAATGCGCAAATTTATTCGACTTGTTGGCCATGCCGTTCGTGTCTGTCTGCTCGTTCGAAAATATGCTATTGAGGCATTACGTCGCGCGAACGAACAAATCATTTTCGAAAATAAAGATATTCTCTTTGATCTGAGACATTTCCGACGTCCCGCTGAAGTAATCCTATGATAATTGTGTTTAATCTCTATTTGTTCTTCGTAGGATACAATCGGACGTAATATTCGTAAAATTCTCAAATCAGATCCAAAAACAAGATCCGAAGATGATATTCGAATGGTTGTTACTACATTGAGTCAAGTCATAACACCGTTTACAGGTTTTTAGGCACACAGATTTTTCTTTCATGATACTAGGCAATAATTATGAAGCTCTCGTGTCAATAAAACGAAGAACGATTTGAACTTATTTTGAAGCTTTTCAATTCATCCTATGCTTGGGGCTTGAATAAATTCATGCGAAAATATTCATAAGAGTTTTAGAGATACTATGTTTCAAAACAAGATTATTTTAATGTGAAAGACAAAGCATCAGAGCAATATTTCTAGCGTTGAAATGAGTAATTAATACCCTCAGCTATGCCTTTTGAAATATTTCCGTTTGTCGTCAAGTAAATCTATAGTTGACGAATGATACTGTCTAAAGCTACCCGAAAGCCTTTGTAAGGAGTCCAAAAGTACAATTTTTTATAAAATATAATTGTCATATGTGGTTGTTTACTTAAATCGATATCGATTCATAATTAGATTCCTTTGACAAAAGCCATACACGAGAATAAAGTGCACTCAAAAAAATCTTAAATGTCTGTGTAAATAACATATTGTTATTTAGAATTTCCTCTACAACAACAATACTCTATAGCACGTGTGGGACGACTTGAGGAATTCGAAATGGGTCGCGTTATTCTTCGAGAAGGTCATCGAGCCGAAAAGTTTTATTTGATTATTGATGGAATCAGTGAGTGTATTTAGCATTTCTTAGGACCCCAGAATGACGTTCTTACATTGATTACCTAGCGGACGTGTATAAATCGTGGGAGAGTCCAAAAACAAACACAATCAGTTCAAGATTGGTTGCCGTACTCAAGAAAGGAAGCTCCTTTGGAGTACGTAGATTATATGAATCTTGAATAACAGTAATTTTTCTCTGTCTCTCTTCGTAGGAGATAGCTCTATTAAATTCAAAGAGGCGAACTGCAACGGTGTCTTGTCAAACTGACGTGACGATGCTTGCCATTGAACAAGAAGATTTTGTCAAAATTTTTATGTCAAACAAAGAAGAGACCGAACCTGACTTTATAACATATCTACGACAGATACCCGAAGTAAGACTATCGTTTTAAACGAAATATCCTATTTCATGATTCATCCGTTTAGCTTCGTGGCTTTCCTTTTGAGAAAATTCCACCCAATGATCCCTACTTTTGCCATGTGGTCTATTACCGGTAGTTGTTTTTTTAATATAATATTTATCATGAATATATATGAAGTTGATTCTTTTGTTTCATCAAAACTAGTATGGGAACCGTGATGTGCAAGGATTCGAATAAAGACGAATGGATTTACGTCATACGAACAGGTTGTTGTCGTGTCATTAAAGCATTGACTCAAGTAACACCGAAGTTGACATTAAAAAAGAAAACTGAAGTGATTTATGATCATTTTGGTATCGTTATGGTCGATCGTTTTAATTGAAATAGTAATATTTTTCGTAATTACTTTTCAGGTACCAAGCGGAAGTCCCAATATGGCATCGAAGCATTGGGAGCATATCGTCAAGTAAGACTATTGCCAATGCATGTGCTCGCTCGTACATATGATCTGTTTTAGCGTACAGTATCCGCTAAGCCCGCCAAATGCTACACTGAGATCGAGCAGCTTTGTGAAAGAAGTATCTTTGTAAGTATTTTCTCTTCGGACCCTTCGTGATTTCGAATGGCTTTGCTCGTCGTTGAGGGTTTATTCAATGTTGTCTTTGATCAATCCGAAAAGGTCACCAGCCTTACATTAGTCTCTGATGGAGCTGAATGCATTCAAATACGAAGAAGCTTTTTCATTAAATGGGCATCGGAGAGTCACATGGATCGTTTGCGACGAGAGGCAAGTAGCTCCAATTATTGTAATCAACATAAAAATTGTATCCTTTTTTCACAACTTAATATGTTTAGCTTCGACTTTATCTCACAGATGACGAACTACAAAACAAATTGCAGTGCGAAGTCAACTGGACAGCATACAAAAATTTGCTCATACAGCGAATTCGAGAACGCAACAGCACAACTCATAAGATCATGTTCAAAAACTGAGCAAATAATTCTTTTTTATAATTGAAATGATATGAAAACTAAGTCTAAATGTTCAAAATAAGCTGAAATATACTAGTTGACACACTCGTATGACACTTCCAGGCTGTTGTCAAAAAAGTGGATGCTCAAAGCAGTCCTTGACATTTGTTGTGTATTTGATTACTATCGAATTAGATCGAATTGAATTGATGAAACAGTTACGAAAACTTTGAGTGCAGATGGGACACTTTGATGCGTGTACAATTACTTTTATCTATAACGAGAATACTCAAAGAAAAAGTGAAATATCAACTGTTATGACAAAAAAAGATGGGTCCTAACGAAGGAGTCTCAAACTGTATAGAAAATTCTAACAATGAATAGAAGAATTTCAAAATAATTTAATTCAGAATCTTTTTATCTAATCATTCATAACCAAATCACTATCTGTCTACGTTACATGCAAACGAAAACATCTTTCTACTAATGCAAAAGTGTCAAACACACCGTATTTAGTGCAAGTTTTCTATTTCTAGCAATATAGAAACCATTTTACTTCGTAACTTTCAAAATACATTTTTACATGCATTACAAATTTTTATGAAAAGCATATTATTACGCTTAAGGACGTAGAAAGGCGTGAGAAAAACGCTGGAAGATTTTTCCATAGCATCTACAAAAACTAGTAATAGTGTTAGTGAAATATTTTGTCGTGTTTCTTATGACTGACTATAGAAGACTCAACATCTACGATAATAATTGTTGGTACCCAAGATAACAGAATATTTCGATCTTTATTCATTTTCAATTGACCATAATTCCATGAGATAATATGTTGAAAGAACAAAATCTATTTTAAAATCGTATCTTCAAAAAAAAGGAAACTTCCCAAATGATGAATCGTTCTGTGTGTGAGTGTAGATGAAAAGAAGATCCACACCCACATCGTCTCTTTTGAGTCGCGTCGTAAATGTACACAATTAATCAATTTTAAACGTAATAAAGCCTCATATTATAAACAACTGTTATTGTACATACGCGACTGCTTGAAAACTGAAGATGTTAGCGTGAACACTAACAAAGATTTATCAAGTCAAAATAAGACACTGACATGTAAAATTTCTCATTCATTTGTTTCTGCTGTTATTTGTCGTTCAATATAGTTTTGATAATTGCAGAAACAGTGTTTTTTTTTCTATATGGTACAAATATTCCAGAATTGTGTCATTTAGAATCATTTGATTGTTTTGTTGCATATCATGCTTTGCTAATTAAAAATTAAAAAAAGATCTTTTATTGTAATCATATTGTATCGAAGTTACTGATCGATTGATATTATTCTTTTATCAATATTTATTTTAATAATTATTAATGTGTATTTAGGGTACACGTTTTTTTAGAATTAAGGGTTCGAAATATGATTATTGATTAACATCTAATCATTCCGTTATCTGCATTCATAGTCAACATATTAATCATATTGTAGCTATTAGCAATGTTTAACCACTCGTTTTTCCGCGTGGTTCAAATGGAAATAAGAAACTTATAAGTGCCAAGGCACCGAAAGCAGCTGCACATACATAAATGGGTATATTCGAATTGAGATTGGCATACATGCCCACAACCGCAGCGACAATACCCATGATTCGATTGCATGCCACAGTGATGGCATTACCCGTGCCTCGATGTTCTGATGGAAGTACTTCTGGTGTATAGGCATATAAAGTCCCATAGTAGATGTTCAAACAGAAACTGATCATGCAGGCAAAAGCCAAATTCTCAGCAGCAGTACGAACTGTTGTGTACGCGAAAAGGAAGATCATGGTGAGTAGAGCACCAATAACCATAGTGTATCGTCGACCAAGATAATGAATTTCCACTAGAGCTCCAGCCACCACGGGACCAAATATGGTGCACGTATTGGTGATGGCATAATTGCGGTAGGTTGTATAAGTAGAGCCATCACCTACGACTGCTCCTCGTGAGCGCAGATAGTAGGGCAAAAAGACATTGTAGAGAGGATAAGCGAGACCAATCAAAGCCCATGAAGCAATATTAAGTAAGGTTGAGCAGCCCATTCGTCGATTTGGGAAAAGACCTATCATGAGAAAATTCGATAGAAAACTGTTTCAATCTGCGACGGTATTTACCTCGAATATGATGAATGATTATCATCGGATGATATTGTTTGATGTCACTGTTTTGACGCACTGGTCCGAATGATTCGAGTTGTTGCAAAGTCAATGAACTCTGTTTTCCTGCGCCTTGAGCTATCTGATGAATAATTTGCACTACCTCAGCGTCCCTGTTTTGAGAAAGTAACCATTTAGGCGATTCCTTCAAGCGTATGACAACGATACGAAGAATAGATAAAACAACCACGAGTCCGCCCAAAGTATAGAACGTATAGCGCCATCCAGAATTATTGGCATTCGTACAATCCTGTTTGCTCTCACACGAATACATAGCCATGAAAGGCCATGCTACTAGACTTGCCACCATTTGACCAATGCCCCACCAAGCAGCCATGAATGTCAGAGACCATTGATATTTACCAGGTAGAAACTCTAAGTAGACTGCTGTATCTAAAATCAAGTTACCACCTCCTCCGAATGCCATTAATGAGATCAGAATACACACGGTGAGAAAGTTTGGAGCAGCTCCAGTAGCAATGGCAAATATCGCACATAGAAGTAAGGTAATATTGAATGCATATCGACGACCGATAATCTGCAATATTACAGTTATATTTCACGGCGAAAAATGAAAATCATAACAGTAAAAAAGTATTTTATAATAACTTACATCGGCCCCAAGACCCCAGAATAGAGCCCCAACAAGCAATCCAATTCCAACGGAAATTGTTTGTGCAGTAGTGACAACTGGTTGGTATTGTAGAGCGATTTGTGGTTGTGTTAGAGAATTGAGAAGAAGTAATAAAGAGTCCACTGCATAACCAAAACCGTTGAGAAAGAATAGTTTCAAATGATAGTTAGTGAAACCAATTTCATCGATAGCACTATTCACACATTGGATTTTTAGCATAAGTGTCTGATTTTCGTGTATATCCAAGTCGAAATCCAGAGACACTTTCTCATTATCATCGTTTGTTGAACTGCTCAGATCGAGAGTTCTCGATTGATGTAGTTCATTGTCATCTGTCATCACAAATCTCTACAAATACAAATTCGAGAATATGATTATTAGGATTCAATTCGAAATAAAATATTATATCGTCTCCATCAGAATCATTCCTTTTCTGCTTCATGAGTAGCACAAACATCTATCTTTAGACAGATAGAACTAGAAACTATGCCTAATGTTTCTGGAGCATTAATGGTAAGCTTGTTTGCTTCAAGACGTTCTCTCACATTATGAAACATACTTTTTTCTCAGCACTGAAGAACCCTATCTCGTGAAAGCAAAGTTCAGTAAAGTGAATACTGGAGAAGATGCTTTTTTTGAAGGGCTTCTTCGATTCTTATCAAGATGATGTTATTTTTCTTTCTACAAGCAAGCCCTATCTAAGGGGCTTTGTCATCAGATCCACTTCAATAAAAATGTGCTTATCTTCAAATTCTCTTATGTCATGATAATGTCCTTATCGTAGTTTACTAATTGACGGTAGTTATGTTGCAGTTTCATTTTTGCTCTGTTAGAGTCTTTCAAATATGCAATAGAAAAATAGAATTCGACCATCAGAGTTTTGCTTTTTATCTTGAATTAATATTTCTCGTAGCTATGGAATCTTCAAAAACATGTATCTGAATCTTGACATTCTAACGGGCGGCGCATAAAGAATAGCATTTTCAGTATCTTTTAAATACCTCAAACATATTTCATCGTGCAAACTTTGCCGTTTAGTAAGAAGATTTTCTATTCAATTTTCTACAAACTGATGTGAAGTCATCTTGTCCACGATGAAACCATAAAATTCTATTAGGATGACACTGATGTTTTGTGAAGACACATTTTAAAATTACAATCTTTTATGAAATTATTATTCTTTTTGATTCTGACTATTCTGTTGTGAGATCAGTTAGATGAAAACTCCTTTCTTTTACGTATGCACGCCTTCTTATGTCACTGGAAACAAGCCGTTTTGGTGAGATTACAAAATTTCAATGGCAGCTGGCCTTAGACTACTTGAGCAAAACATTGAGCGTTTTGTTTTCACAAACAATATATATAGTCTCAAACAATATTGCAATGAGCAAGTCGTTTTCGAATGACCGCCAAAACTTCCCTTTCTCAAAATGAAAAAACTGTAACTGAAACTATTTGCATTTTCTAATTCATAGTATAAACCTTAAGAAGGAGCTCCAAACAAAAGCCAAAAAATTATAATATAGAACAGATACAAAAATATTCTGTCTATAAATGTTTTATACTGGTAAGGGATCCTTTTGAGGGTAAGTGGGTAGGTGGGAAAGAGAAGATTCATATCCACACCCTTGTTCGATATATTCATCTGTTGTCTTACTCTATATGACCCAACGGATAAACAAACAATGATAGAAATCTTATTATTCATACTGAGCACTTCGTCTTTCTCCACAATCTGTTAGATCGTACCTAGTTTTGCTGCACGCCAACTTTGTTTTCTGGTCATCATGACGCATAATCTCTGTATCACCATCTAACTGCAAGACAACTCTGCCAAAATACTGATCATTACAGCTTCTGATTAAGCGGAAATGTCGAATCCATATAAAATGCAATAGCAATCTACTAGAGAAGAACAGACTTTAGTATGTCTAGAATTTGTTTCGTTTTTACATTTTGGCAGTAGAAGGATCAAAACAGAGAAAGCCATAAGGACCAACAAAATTATGGAAATCAAAGACAACATCTTTTTGTGAAAACGTTAAAAAAGACAATACCAAAATCAACGGAAAGAAAATGATAAAAGTACAGCAAAAGAATAGAAACACGTTACAGAAATAGCACATTTTATGGTGAGATTCGATACCTTGAGAGAAGTAAAATGAATGTGAATAAAAAAAATCTCTATTCAATCAAAATTACTTTTTAAGTGCAGTATATCTAAGGAGATAGATCAGTCGCAAGTTAAAATTGAAGCATACACTCACTATGGTATAATGAATTTCACAAAAATACAGGTCCAAAAATTTCAAGACTTCTGATTCTGTTGATTGTTAATGATTGACAATGACTGTCAATAGTTGTCAATGATTGTCAATAATTGTCAATGATTATCAAATATTGTCAAACATTATCAAACAATGTCAATTTATGTCAATGGTGGTCCACGACTGTGAATGGTTGCCCTAAATCCAATCAGCTTTTCTCTCTTAGTCTGTTCAGTCGTTTTGCTAGATATCTGTGAAACGACTGTGAGAAGGAGGTTCAATTTTCTAACCGTGTACTCCAAGTGACATAAACCTATTGTTTTCCTCTAGACTGAAAGGCAAGGATTCAGCAACCGTAATTAAATCATCTTATCTATTTGTATGCGTGCGTGTCTGTCTGAAATAGCTTTTTAAAATCCTTGTCTGACTTATGGAATGGCGCATTTTTGTTTTAATTAGCCAAGCGTACATCAAAGATAAGTAAATTTTTCTATCTTCGCACTTATTCTGTGTCGCTCAAGGTTACACTCGGTGCTGATATTGAGAACCATCACTTTCGCAGACACAGCAAGGAGATTTTTAGATTTTCGGATTTCTGTCTGGGTTTTGCCATGTCTCTTGGCATTCGTACTTTCAGTTCATCTTTTGATTTGGACTATGAGTCTTCTTTTGGAACCTATGACTCTTTCTGGACTTTATTCACTCTATTGGAAAGCACTTATACGCTCTCGTGAAGTCTAGCGCTGCATGTAGAATTATAGAAGCATCTTCAGAAGGTACTCCGTCTCATTCTAGCACAAGTCATCTCATTATAGGATGTTAAACTGAATTTGATCTCAGAAAAAGAACATACATAACTTGTTACTATAACTATGGTAACACATTTTGGATCATGCAATGTCAAATCGTGTGATCGTGACATTAAATGTAAACTAATTGTTCATTTGTTGAAACAGTATTGAATTGAGGTGGCAGCATTAGCTGAAATTAAGATACCTGATTCGAGTATTCGCGCGGAAAATGAATACACGTCAATTCATTCTGGATTATCTTCTCAGTGGTCATCAACATCTGGAAATGGTACACTCTTATGCTTGACTCTTGAAGCAATACGCCCCTGCAATAACACTAGTTCTTATTAGACAGCAGTTAATTCAACAATTGTTGAAGTTCTTATTGGATTTCGACTTTTGCCAATTGCCATCATGATCGTTTATGCACTCTGTAAATCATTTGACTGGACTAAAAGATGATATTGAAGTCTGTGATGAGTTCTATACAATTCGTCAATCAACAATTGATAGAACTTATAAGAGCGATATCATTCTGATAATGGAAATTTTTAATGCTCAAGTAAAAGAAGAGCGAACTAATACAGCTGTAGGAACTATTGGCAAACATATTATTGAGAAACGGAATCAAAATGGTCATCGCTTAATCGATTTTTACCCACTTAACAATTTTACAGTTACTATATAATACGTTCTTTTCGCACCAATCAGTACATCAAGCAACATGAACAGATCCGAAAGCTATGCAATGATACATGCTACATCATGTCCTACAGTAGTTAATCGTAAATTCAAGACTAGTGGTCAAGAACTACATGTTCATAGGAACGCTACTGGTGGTATTAGAACAGATCATCATTTATTATAAGCTATCTGCACTCTTACAATGTTGTCATAAAATTGCAAGAGAAGTTTGATTAAGATTAGAATCATTTAACATTGGCTGATAGTAACTTAATTTCTGCTTTCCAAACTGATTTAGTGAAAAATTGCTCCGCTCTGCGATAAGAAGATGAACCATTAGCGATGAACGAAAAACTCACGATATTTGAATATCGTATGCGTGAGCATGGAAAAACCAATGTTGAAAAGAGTGAAAACTTTCAAAATTCTGGCAAGGAATGGTTTACACCAGAGCTAAAGAACACTGTCAATAAAAAAAGCCAAAACACTTATACAATGACAACTTCACCG